AACAAATTTCAATTCAGTTTTTGTTCCTGGGTACAAAGTGTGTTTTCCTAATACTTTATACCTAAAATAAATAGAAAATAGCTATTGTTCCAGAAAAATGTTGCTTCTGTGGGCCAAAATCTGTGCTTTTAATCACTGAGTAGGAGAATAGTGAATAGCAATATTTGATTTAGATGGCATCAAGAGGTTGCTTGTACCCAGCAGATGCATTTTGCTTTATCAAGCTATCTGTCTCAAAACTGAAACTCAATGGCTAAATGGGAATTTGACGTTCATTATAAAGGGTCTCCTTGCAATTGTTAAGTTATGCCTTAGACCACAGTTCCCCAAGGTTCCTGGCTTTGCGAACCAGGGATGGGGGGGAAGGAGAGAGGATAGAGCCCATCTCTTCTGTAACCTGATTCCGAATGATTCAAGGCCCCCTAACAGTTTAAAATTATGAATTAGACCAGGGGTGTCAAACTCAAGGCCCATGAGCCATATCCAGCCCACAGGAGGCTTAGATCTGGCCCACAGGTCAAGGGTGACAAAGAATGATGTGTCTCAGAGTTGGCTACACCCAGGCAGTGCCGGATATTTTAACTCCCAATAAATCCTTTTGAAGTTTTGAAAGTTTGGCTTGAGATTTAATTGGGGTAACTGCCTGGAATCCTGATAGCTAGCCGACTCTGAGACATATAATTCATTGTCACCCTTGACCCTGGTTTTCCCCTACCCCCTAGGTGTATCTAATTCATATTCTCTAATGGGACACATCCATAGCCAACAGTCATGTTCTCCAGTTAGAATTTTGCACGGCAGAAACTTCAGTCACCTAGTTACTATCTTTGAAAACTAATTATGGAATGCACTTTTGGTTTCCAAGCTGCCACACTGCTCCTCACTCCCTTTCTGTTGGCAACTCTAAAAAGACTATAGAAATATTTTATGAGTTGACATCCTAGTAATTTGAAGGTAGGCCTTGCACTATCTCTTCAGAGGTAGAGCGGATCTTGAAAATAATTGGTTTTCCTGATTCTCCAGCCCAGGGAATAGGTGACTTGGTGACTTTTTCAAATTTGATGTTTGTCTGAAAATGGAAGCTTAATAAATAAATGGATATTCAGCATTGTTTCAAAGGGCTCCCTAATTGAAAATTATGCCTTGGACTATATCCTGTGTCAACTAAGAGCACTGATCTAGGAAACATTTGGTTTTTCTGCTCCTCCTGACAACAGAGAACATGATTACGCCTCTCTTTTTCAAAGTTGATGTTTGTCTGAAAGGGGAAGTTTAGTGGCTAAATGAGAATTCAGCATTTGCTGTAATGGGCTTCCTAAGAATTGCAGATTATGCATTGCACTATCTCTTCAGATCCCGAAACAAAATGGTTTTCCTGATTCTCCTTGCTAGAGACAACATTATTATGTGCTTCTTTTTCAAATTTGATGTTTATCTGAAATGGGCACTAAATGGAATTTGGTATTCTCTACAATAGGCTGCCTAGCAATTGCAAGTTAGGTTTGTACTGCCTCCTCAGAGGTAGAACGGATCTTTAAAATGGCTGGTGTTCCTGGCACTCCTGGCCAGTGAAAATATAGTTTTGTGATTCTTTTTCAAATTTGAGTGTTTTCCTGACTCTCCTGGCCCGGGAAAACATGAATCCCATAATTATGTGAGTCTTTTTCAAATTTGATGTTTGTCTGAAAATGGAAGTTTAATAATTAAATTGTAAATCAGTCATTATAAAAGGTCTCCTAACGATTGAAAAATATGTCTTGAATTATCTCCTGACACAAGGTGAGGATCCTGGAAACAATTGGTTTTCCTGGTTCTCCTAACTAAGAATATGATTACATCTCTTTTTTTTTTCAAATATGATGTGAAAATGAAACATCAGCCCTGAAAAAACTATGAAATATCCCACCAAGTCAGAATCCTGTGTGAATGTACATGTGTTAATCCTAAAAACGCTGAAGAAGAGGAGCGTTGGTTATTAAATGAATGTGAAAGGGGGGGAAATCCTGTTAAGGTGCATTTTAATTGGAGACCAAGACACACTTTGAAACAAAAAAATGATTTATTGACAAAGTACTGGAAGGCAATGGTTTGTAGAGGACTAGGGTTTAGTGTTTGCATTAATGTAATGCATATTAAAACCATCTCTATCTATTGGACTAAAACCATCTCTATCTAAAACCATCTCTATCTATTGGACCGGATGGAATATGTGCCTACTTCTTAAGAAAGCTATCCACTGCCATAGCCAAACCTCTAAGCATAATCTTTGAAAAATCTTTCAGAACCAGCTCCTTGCCTAACCTATGGTCACAAGCCACAGTCATCCCCATCTTCAAAAAGGGAGACCCAAGCCTAGTTGAAAATTACAGGCCAATCTCCTTATCCTGCGTCACCTGTAAAGTCATGGAATCAATTATTAACCAATCCATCATCCTTCACTTAGAGACAAATAACCTACTCTCCAATAAACAATTTGGTTTCAGAAAAAAACTATCCTGTAATCTGCAACTCTTACACTGCAAAAACATATGGACGACACAACTCGACCAGGGCAAAGCAATAGACGCAATCTACATAGACTTCTGTAAAGCCTTTGATTCAGTGGTACACGACAAACTACTCCTAAAAATAAAATCCTATGGTATCTCTGGACAACTGAATAACTGGATAGAAGCATTCCTGTCAAACAGACAACAAATGGTCAAAATCGGGAGCGTCCTATCAAATCCAGTACCTGTCAATAGTGGTGTTCCCCAAGGCAGTGTTCTAGGACCAACTCTCTTCATACTCTACATAAACGACCTCTGTGATCATATTAAGAGCAATTGCGTTCTCTTCGCTGATGATGTAAAGCTGTTCAATACCACAGACAATACTGCTACCCTACAAAAAGATCTTGACTATGTATCCGAATGGTCAAACAAATGGCAACTTCAAATCTCAACAAATAAATGCTCTGTCTTACATATTGGCAAAAAAAATCAGAAAATAAAATACAAGCTGAATAGTCAAGATCTTGTTGATGACCCAAGCTCTGTAAAGGACCTTGGAATACTCACCTCTAATGATCTAAGTGCTAGAGCACACTGCAACTACATAGCCAAAAAGGCATTAAGAGTTGTTAACCTAATCCTACGTAGCTTTTTCTCTGGTAATATCACACTACTAACCAGAGCATACAAAACATTTGCTAGACCAATACTCGAATACAGTTCATCAGTCTGGAACCCACACTACGTATCTGATATTAGCACAATTGAGAAAGTCCAGAAATATTTCACAAGAAGAGTTCTCCACTCCTCTACTCGCTGTAGAATACCTTATGCCACCAGACTTGAAATTCTAGAACTAGAAAACCTTGAATTACGCCGTCTTCGGTCTGACTTAAGCATGGTATATAAAATCATACATTGCAATGTCCTACCTGTCAATGAATACTTCAGCTTCAACCATAACAACACAAGAGCACACAATAGATACAAACTCAAAGTAAACCGCACCAAACTTGATTGCAGGAAATACGACTTCAGCAATAGAGTGGTCAATGTCTGGAACACTCTACCCGACTCTGTAGTTTCTTCCCCAAACCCCAAAAACTTTAACCTTAGACTGTCTACTATTGACCTCACCCCTTTCCTAAGAGGCCTGTAGGGGGCGTGCATAAGCGCACCAACGTGCCTACCGTCCCTGTCCTATTGTTTCTCTTATTCTTTTATTTTTCTTATATGTAACCATTTCATGTATTCACAACTATGTATACATTTATACTTATTATCTTGTAAACAATTGGCAAATCAAATAAATAAATAAATAAATAAATAAAATAAATAAATATTAAAACACAGGTAGATTAAATGAGATCACTTGCCTACATAATAAAGCCTTTACTTAACAAAGTCTTAAAATCTGCCCTAAATTGTTAATTTTACCTAACCATTCTCAGAAAACCTTTGGTCCCCAGCACTAAAATGCTGGCAATTTTCAGTTGTTGGATACACTCTTTATAGCTGACTCTGTTTCTTGCCATTCAGTTTCATCTCTTTGCAGTTCGTCACTTCAGATATGGTGGTGGATCTCAAGGGCTTTACTTTAGTTGACTCTACAGTGCAGTCAGATAAATCATTTCACTAGATCTGCAAGACCATACATAAGGTTGAGGTACAAATTAAATTCCTAGAAACCCTCCTCCAATGGAAAACTACAAGGAATTCCCACAACTGGAAAGTCAAAAAATATACTGTTGCCAAAGAAAACAACACGGATGCATTCCCATCATGAATTGAGCTTCTTTTAGGAGAAATTTTTAACTTTTTATCCTTTAAGACAGAATTAATCAACGTTTCCGGCTTTGAGAACCAGTGAGGGGTGGGGTGGAGGGGATAGTTTTGCGCAAGTGGGGATGTAACTTTGAATGGTCACTCACTCGCCACTTCTGCGGCCCGGTTCCGAACAGCTCGAGGTCAGTAATGAGCCGCGGCCCAGAGGTTGGAGACTCCTGTCCTGTAGAGTTCCCCAACTTTTCCAGCTTTGTGGGGAAAGGGGAAAAGGGGATGGTTCCATACAAATGATGCATAAGTGCATGTTGCCCACTGCTCGCATAAGTGGCCCTGCGCATGTGCTCCCCCACCACTTCTGCAGCCCAGTTCCAAACAGCTCGAGGCCCGGTAATAGGCTGCGGCCCTGGGGCTGAGGACCCCTGTGCTATTATGTGCTTCTTTTTCAAATTAGGTTATTGAATATAGTCTTGAAACTATGATTAATTTTATTTTGTGTAGTGTCAGGATTCCTTATATTTTATCTATGATTTAGTGCAACTTCGAATAAATATTTACCAGCTTTATCTTAAACTACAAATTGAGCTGATAAAAATAGAGCAGCAAGGTTTAAAACCATTACTTGTGTCTGTGCTGAAAGAGAAGGTTGGCAGGAATCATGCAAGTTTAAGGCTTGTTCATGTTATAAAAATATTCAGATTATCATAACACATGAATGCAACCACCATTTTATTTTTTTCTTTCACTTTAATTTTTTTAAATATTTCTCCATATCAAGGTAAATTCTTTACACTACTGCTCACGCAGGTTCAAAAGAGAAAAGAAAAATATGTATCCATATTTATATTAAAATATGCACAGTGTATAATATGATTCTGTAATATGTGCTACAATAAATGCCTTAAATTATATCAATTAATAGTTCAGATTTACTTTGGATTATTTGAATATTTACTATTGATACCACAGGGTAAGTACTTTTAAATCATAAGAGTTGATGTTTGGCTGCAGATCCTATGAGGATGCACTTCTTTTCCCATATCTGTGTCTTTAAATGATTGCATCAGGATGCTAACAACCTGACTTGCCCTTTACAAATTAGCATAATATAACCAATACAAATGCGAGTAGAAGACCATATTCGCAGCACCATCTTCAATGGAGTGACTAAAGCAACTAAAAAATAGGTGGTTTAGACCAAAACCCTACACCTTTGTACATGAACCAATAGCAGATAAATATATAAAAAGGCAGAACCTGGATCCACAGTTGCACTTACAATTTTGGCCTTTTGATATTTCTTTGTAGGTGACATTGCTACATTGACTTAATTTTAGACAGGGACAATCTCTGTAAAGGAAATTGAGTAAAATGTGTAAAAATGAGCAGACTGAAGATGGATTTTCTTGCAAGCAGTAACAGAATAACAGAGTTGGAAGGGACCTTTGAGATCTTCTAGTCCAACTTCCCCCGCTCAAGCAGGAAACCCTATACCATTTCAGACAAAATGGCTGACCAATCTGTTCTTAAAAATCTCTAGTGTTGGTTGGAGCACCCATAACTTCTGGAGGCAACTTGTCCCACTGATTAATTGTTCTGTCAGGAAATGTCTCCTTAGTTCTAGGTTGATTCACTCCTTGATTAGTTTCCATCCATTGCTTCTTGTCCTGCTTTCAGGTGCTTTGGAGAATAGATTAACCCCCAGTGTTCTCTTCCCCAGAGTTACAGTATGAATGGAAGTGAAGTGAAGCAGACTCAACATTTAGGGTTCATTAATAATAGGAAAAGAATGGTTCATAAACACATGGACTCCACTTGATTTCATCTTGCTTGTTTTCTGGCAGCTTTCATGGTGATTTGGTTCCTCTCAAACTCAACAGTCCCAACCAAAGTTGCAAAATCTCTCTCTCTTAAGAACTGCTGCAGCTAAAGAAGACCTTTCTATCTATATGATGAACACCCATATGTGAATTATCAATGCATGAACACAAAACAGAATATGTTAAGCAAAGATAGCTACCTTCCTATGCTGTATTTACAGTACAACTCTTTGCGTCCTTTATTCAATATAATGCGACAATTGTAAACATTTTTTCTCACCAACAATGAAAACATCTAAAAAGATTCTAAGTACATACGTTATCTTTCATTTAGAAATGGTCTTATTTTATGCTCAAGTGCCGAATGTGGATTTTTGAAATATCTTATTCTTAAAAAAATACAACTTTCAGATACAAATAAAGATAGCTGGAATATCTGAGCACACGTTTGATCAGAATTCATTAACAATTAGTAAGTCCACGTGGCTGTAAAGGATAGAAATAAAAACAATTAGAGACACTAATGTGAAAATTAATGCCTCCTGAGCCTAAACACCTGTTGATAAAACCAAAATTAAAAATTCTAAACATATTTGATACATTCCTGTTATCTCAAAAGTACTTCAGTAAGCGCTGATAACTTTAAAATTAGCATAGGACTCCAAGATTTGTCAGCTCACCATGATTAATCTGGCTGGTTGGAGATGGTATGGGTGTGTGTGTGTGTGTGTGTGTATTCCCTTCTCCTTATCCTGAAAACCACAGGCTTAGTGGTAAAGAGCCATTGTCCCACATAGGTTCTTTGTGCTCATTCTTTGCTCTTCCACCCTCCAGAATCTATAATAATTTCAAAGAACTCTTAGTATTTTCTGGCGCTCTGACAAATGTGGAGATACAATCCAAACTTTTCTACTTCATTCACATTGTGCTTTTACATTTTTTAATTTTATTTCAATCTGGGAGGAGAGAATTCCTGACAGATGAGATGCATCCTTTATTCCACTGTCACTCACGCCCTAGTCACTTCCTGTCTGGACTATTGCAATGCACTCTACATGGGGCTGCCCTTGAAGAGCATCCGGAAGCTCCAGTTGGTGCAAAATGCAGCACCCCGCATGGTTTTGTGCAGACCTTGGTGTGCACATATATCATCTCTCCTGCAGGAGCTGTACTTTGAACTCCTTAACCTCACTGTCAGAGAATTAAAGAAAAAATTAAATATTAAATGAACTTATTTAAGTCAGTAAAGGATGGATATGAAGGGAGACTATCAAAAATGGGTATGAGGACAAAGATAAGAGAAAGGAACTTATCAAAGAATTTCAGAGAATTGTTAGAAGGAAGAAGCATCAGTATTATACTACAATGGCATCAATGGACAGATTCAAAGGAAGAAAATGGAAGGAATGTACTGCAATATTGTACTGTTCAATGGAGATCAACATCCAAGATAACCTCAGAAGATATTCCTAACTTACAAGACCTCTAGTACTAGAAGGTGAAGTTAGATCAATGTTTTTGTTGTTACCTAGTCAGAAGACTATAGGAAAAATGACAAATGGGAAGAAATCGTAAATAAATGTTCTCACCAAACTATGCCAGGAAATCTTGAAGACAGATTTGTCAACAGAATGAAAGAGGTCAGATTACATTCCTATTCCAAAAAAGGAGAACAGAGTGTGCAACCTATCACACAATATTCTTAATTTCATACGCTAACAAAATAATGTTTTAGGAGTATCTAATACAGGGTATATCCCTACATGGAAAAGGAGATACCACATGTTCAAACTGGCCAAGGGACATGAAACACTATTGCCGATGCACTCTGGATAAGTGTTGAGAAAGCCAAAAGATACCAAAAAGAAGTGACTATTGCTTCATGATTATAAAAAAGCTACTTTTTTCATCAAACTGTGGAATGTGCTCTGAAAAATGGGAACCTCCAGCAGCACATCTCATTATGGACACAACATGGCGAATCAGATGGGCTCCAGGTTGGCAAAGGAGGGTGACAAAGTTGTATATTCTCCCTTATTTGCTCAACTACAGGTTGAATATGTATTAAGAGAGGCTGGATTAAAAGATGAGCATGATTTTAAAATTGTAGGAATATCAATAACCTGCAGTATGCTGAAACCACTGCTCTGATAGAGGAAATTCAAGCTCTCGTAATAAAAGCACAGTGAAAAAATGTGACTAAAATTAAATAGACCATACTAATTAAATTGAATTAAACTAACGGCAGGTAAACCAACCAGCCTTAAAAAAAAAGACAATGAAAAGATCAAGATGGTGGATAGTTTCTGCCTTTTAGAATGAATTATCAATAATAAACAATCAAGAACTATAACACAGACTAGCATGTACAAGAAAAGTCATGAAGGAGGCCTTGGAAAATGTCAGCTGCAAGGTGAATGGGCTCATTTACAAGGACAATGGGTGCACCATTATAGAAGACCTGAAAGGCTAGGTTAACAGATTAACAAGTTGGAAGGGACCTTTTAGGTCATCTAGTCCAACCCCTGCCCAAGCAGGTGACCTTACATCATTTCTGACAAATGGCAGTCCAGCCTCTTCTTGAAAGCTTCCAGTGATGAAGCTCCCACAACTTCTGAAGGCAAGCTGTTTCATTGATTGATTGTTCTCACTGTCAGAAAATGTATCCTTATTTCCAGGTTGAACTTGTTCAGTTTCTATCCATTATTCCTTGTCTGGCCTTTAGGTGCTTTGGAAAATAACTTGACCCCCTGCTCTCTGTGGCCGCCTCTCAAATAGGTAAAGGATAGATTATGGAAAATCTCTATCAATGTCTATGGAGATTCCCAGTCATCCAGGTCATGGTTGTCCCAAAAGTGCTTTTTTCAAGAGGCAACTGGACTTTGAGTTTTCTTTGAAGATGTTTTGCTTCTCATCCAAGAAACTTCAGCTCTGAGCTGAAGAAGCTTCTTGGATGAGAAGCAAAACATTTTCAAAGAAAAACCAGAAAGTCCAGTTGCCTCTTGAAAAAAAGCACCTTTGGGATATCAATGTGGTTGAAAAGAGCTGACAGTGAATTGATGACACATAATCAACCAGCCATTCAGTCCAGAACATTCCAGGACACATGTACAATATGTTTACGGAAGCCACAAATTGGGTATATTTCTACAAAAATTCAGGAAGAACAAGTATTTCCCGAAGACTTCATATTGGAAGTTACTTCAAATATAACTTACCTTTAACATGAGAATAACATGGTGAACAGTGCACTGTGTTCTTGTAAATCCAGATACTATCTCCTGCCTCCAGGTTTTCTAAAGTTGCTTTGCAGATTTCACACTAAAAGACATGGAATTAAAAATCTTTCGTGGCAAAAACCAGACAAAGAACAACAAATCTGCCAATCATTTTTAATACAATTGTAGCTTGCCTTACACCTTTATTTCATTATACTTTTACTATGATTTAAAATATTTCAAAGAAATTCAGCATCCTCATTTTCTGTAGGAATATGCTTTATTATTGGGCTAGCATCAACTGAACTAACTATAATCTTTCCACATTTTGGCTATGTAGCTTTACAATTATCCAGCATTCTAAGGATAAATGATAAATTAAGGAGAAGTTTTACACTGAAGCTTAACATTCATCCAGGTCAGTGTGAATGTAGCTAGCAGTGCTGGTCCAAAATCTCAAGTAAAGATTATTCTTATTCCCTTGATTATTTTAACTGGGTACACCAGAATGACCGTCAAAAAAGTACTTGTTATTGAATTTCTGTTTGGTTCCATGATCAGAACCATGATTTCAGATTTGCCTAATTGCATTCAGTTTAAACCTATCTTTTCTCTTTCATAGGAGCTCCCCAAATCTGATTTAGCAAGTTTATAGCGAGCTGCAATGAATATGTCCAAACACATAAACAACTATGTTTATTATATTTTTATCCCATCTTACTACTTTGTAAGTAACTCATGCTAGCAAATGTATATAATAGTCTTTCCTGTCCCTATTTTCCCCAACAACAACAACAACCCTGTGAGGTGGGTTGGGCTAAGAGAGTGACTGGCCCAGCTGGTGCTTGTGCCTATGCTGGGACTAGAACTAAGTCTTCTGCTTTCTAGCCTGGTGCCTTAACTTATAAACCAAACTGGCTGGTTAACTATGCTTCCAACAATCATTCAAAAAAAAAAACCTCATATCTTCTTCCACAATCTGAAATATTAATGCGATCAGGATTTTATTACCATGTTCTAGAACTTTATAACAATGCATGGCTCTTGCAGCCTTGAATAATGTCACATGGCAATGCAAGAACCAAACAGGAGGACACCACATTGTCATGACTAGCATTAACTAAGATTCTAAGCCAGCATCTTAACCACCATACCAGAATGGGTGCCCATCTATATAACCACATCTATATATATTTGTACACACAGTGAAACAGCATTCTTACCTTGAAGCAAGTTGCATGACAGCAAATATTTAGAGATTCGAGAATCATTTTGGTTTCTGTGCCCAATGGCTTCTGGCAATAGGTACACAATTCTTTGCCAATCATAGCCCTTTGTTAAAAAAAAAAAAAGGGTGTGGGGGGGGTAGATTTCTCATAACTATTGGAAGAACTAGTACACCCAGCCACCACTGATGTCCTAAAATATTAGCATCTGCAATGAGTCACACTTGTCCTAAATGATGATTTCGCTAATTATGCAGAGAGGAAATGTTCTGAAGAGGAAATGCAGGCTAATCCAGATAGTTGAAAAATAAAGCTATTTGTATTTTAGCCTTGATAAAATAAAGTTGCAATTTCTAGTGTCATGGATTGATACAATATTTAACACTTCCTGCTTTTGTCAGAATACACTTTTTCTTCAAGTTCAACTCAGCTCTTGATCACATACATATTTTTTTTTTTAAACAACAGTATACAGGTGGTTTGCTTCTGCCTTCTTCCCAGATGTTTTTAATCTGTCTGCTCTAGACAACCATAGTAGTTGGGAGGCCTCTGGAGAGAATGGTGGACTTACACTTGCTTTGCTTTTAGAGGAACTGACAATTACAGTAGAAAGTAGAGTCAGTGAAGCAACCCTGAACTCTTCTTGGGAGACAAATTTGAGATTGGCCAGAGGACTCCTTAAAATATTCCCTTGATGAGAAGGTAAAGTAGCAGTGTCCAGTGTGTTTTATAGCTCTGGGAGTTAGGAAAGCGAGCTTTACCCAAGCTATGGCCAAAGCCTTTCATAATGATACTGAGTTTACCTCCCCGCTTAATTGCTTATATTGGAAATGGGTTGTTAATAACTTTTGGAACATTAAGAACTTCCAGAAGGACAGGTTTTATTACACTGGGTGTTTTTCCTCCAACCTGCAGCAAAAGAAGATTTATGTAAGTTTAAAACTTAGACCCTTTTTAAAATTTGCAGTGAAGGAATTATTGGAATGCTGATTATGGAAAGTTTTTAAATGGACTACTAAACAATCAGATTGACTGGTCTGATGAATGAGATGAAGGTTTGACTGTGAAGTGTAAAAATGAAGTATAAAAAATCTCTTCCTTGAAATTGCCTGGATCAGAAAAAAAAAAAAAGGAGAACCTTCGTTGCTAAGGGGAACTCGAAAGAATTAAAGATTATCATTAAAGGGAAAGACCCAATAATACAGAATGGAGAAAAAAAAATAATTCTGGAAGAATGCAAGAATCCTTGGCAACAATGTTGGTGCTGCCAATGGCAGTCTTAGTGAAATGCTCTCTTGTAGTTTTGATTTTTTTTATTATTATTATTATTATTTTTTGTGACTCACTGCAAATTTCATATACAAAGGATGAGATTTTGAACATCGGACAGAGAATTTGAAATGTCAACCAGCTTTCTGGGATTAGTCCAAACCCGTAGCAGCCCACTGCACCCCTGTATTAAACAGATCTGGCTTAGCCTATTGATTTTGCTTGCGGGTAACAGGGGAGTCACAAATCGTGATCACCTGACCACAGGATGCTGCAACATTATAAATGGGAGTGATCATGTGACCACAGGGATTGGGAAATAATCCTAACTTTGAGGGTGGGTTATAAGTCACTTTTTTCAGTACTATCTTAACTTTGAGCTGTTGTTAAACAAATGGTTGTACATCAAGGACTACTACTTCTAGTTGTGATGTTTTTATAGATAGTCCTCGATCTACCACAGTTCATTTAGTGACCGTTCAAAGTTACAATGGGATTGGAAAAAGTGACTTATGATCATATTTCACAGTTACAACCTTTTGCAGCGTCCTCATGATCATGTGATCAAAATTCAGATGATTGGCAACCCCGGGATCCCCTTTTGTGACCTTCTGACAAGCAGAGTCAATGGGGAAACCAAGTTCACTTAACAACCAGGTAACTAACTTATCAACTGCATTGATTCACTTAACAGCTATGGCAAGAAAGGTCATAAAATGGGGCAAAACTTGCTTAACAAATGTCTCACTTAACAACAGAAATTTTGGGCTCCATTATGGTTGTAAGTTGAGGACTACCTGTATTTGGTTTCACATTTACTATTTTCCTGCTCAAATTATGCCACATTTGTGTCTAACCATAGCAATGAAATTAAAAGTCACAAACTGGAAGTATAGACTTACCTTTGATTTCTTTTATCTTTGATTTCAATGAAACTGTCCAGGTCAGAGCTGATTTAGGAACAAAATAAGATAAGTACACAGGATTGCAGGGATTCCAATAATAATTGAGCAGAAGGTTTAAATGTGTTTTTAATTTATTTGTTTTAATATTACTTAATTTTTTATATTAGTAATACTTTATTATTGCTCCACTTGAACATTGTTTTTGGTGAAAGGATGGAATATAAATTTAACCATTAATCATAAATGTGCATCGTAGTAACAATGTTTTCAAGGAAAGACTGTATATTCAGTGAAATCTTGATTTATCGGATCTCAGTATAATTAACTCCGGATGCAATAGATCTTCTGTAATGATTTGTATCACTTGCATAACGAAGTAATTATGCAAATAAAATAATTTGTGAGCTTTGTGATGCTATCACACAAGCAAAGTCCAATAGTTTAATTGTTTCTTTTCTTGTAACTAATGGACAGAATATTTCTAAACTAAAGCTGTAAATTTCTGATCTATTCGATCAGTAGCCCCCAACCTTTGGGGCACCAGGGACCAGTTCCGTGGAGAGAGGTTTTTCCATGGACCAAAGGGGGCATGGTTTCACATGCTACCTATATCCTGCGGATGGGACTTTGCTTGTTTGCGCTGCCCCGTTTCTGGCATGTCTCAGACCAGTGCCATTCTATGTACCGGGAGTCGGGGATCCCTGTACTAGATCCTAAGAGATTCTAGGTTGTAGCTATCCTGAACTTCTTTCCCATTTCCTCATCCAACTCAGGACTCTACAGTCTCTTCATCTGGGCTTCTCTGTGGGAAAGCTCTGTGTTGCCAAAACTCTCCCCCATTGTTTCCCTGGGTGCACATTCAATCACAGATGCAAATGGTGCAATGTTGTTTTTTTTTTGACTATTTACAGTCCTTCACACAGTGAAATCCTGTAAATGATGCAAAATATCCCAATGATACATTTTCATATTTAAAAGATATTTGTGAATATCTCATTGACTTTTACTCCTAACTAGTCCTTTAAAGCAAGATTTCATTTATATATACTAACAATTCAGTAAGAAACTATAACATTTGTAAGTTTATGAAGGAATGCCTGATAAGACAACTATCACCAATATTTGATTCATAATATTTTAAAAGAATGAGATAATTTTTCAAAACCAGATTCATTAATGTAATGTACAATTCAACAGTACAATTTAGAACTTACGATCTGCCTTTCTGGTTTGATATACGATTCACTTCAATGAGATCCTCCACATCCTGATATCCGCTAAGATGAAAGAAAAACCAAAGTAATTTATGGTGTTTGAATTTTGTCTAATACAGAGATAAAACAATAAGAGGAACTACTACTCTTTAAAGCGGGGGTGTCAAATTCATGGCCCGCGGGCTGGATGCGTCACACACTGGCCACACCCACGCTCGGTTTAGCAAAGGGGAAAAAGTCACAATATGTCACATGACAGAGGCATGATAACACAAGTTTGACACCCCTGCTCTAAAGCCTATGATTTGATCTTACTACATGAGAGTAACTTTGAAGATTAAGAAAGTGTTTTAGGTTTGTGAGTAATGTACCCACTAATGATTGTTAGTAGAAATTTCTGCTAGAGGAGAAGCCTTAAAAAATAACACAGAGATATCATATTGATGTGGTATGAAATATTGTTGCTGATAAATAAAAGTTTAATAATGCATTGTTGCATAATTCATGCTTTGGTACCTGGGAATTTAGTAGAGCTAGAAAACTTCCTATCATCATGGTATTCTGTTTTTTTCCCTAGATACTGAACTGGAACCAAAACAGAGACTTAACCATGATCAGTTTCATCTTTGACTTTAGAAAAAGTGTCCAGGTTATGCCGCTTGAGAAATGAAAGTAGACAGATAATTTAATTGAAATAGTGTGCATTTCAATTAAATATTTCATTGCTTTTAATATATCAGTAACAATACTGGATTTATCTGCATTATCTGGCATTGTTTGTTAGCCAATTTAAAAACGGAGAAAGAAAAGAATCCAAGTATCAAGAAAAAAATGTTTCTTTGACTTGACACCATTCAGAAAATATTCCTTCTTTCAATAGCACTATATAAAGAGAAATAATAAAGATCAAAAATCACATCATGCACAAGTTATAATAGTGATTAATAACACCTCCTGATTTGTATTCAAAACAATTAGGTAAAAATCTAAAATGGATTAACCTTATGTTACAGATACAATCAAATAATTTGACAGAAATTAAAAATGTGATCTTTATTTGTAGAAATCAGATGTCAAAAACAAGAATAACGCTAGAGCATAAAAATTTATAAATTTAGCTTCTATATGTATCTGTTAAAATTGTATATTGTTTCACATACACACACACTTTTACATTTTCTGTGTGCGTTTAAGTCATCGTTGACTTCTGACAACTGCTTGGCCAGATCTCTGCAGTTTATTTGGCAAGAATTCAGTAGTAGTTTGTCCTCCTTCTTAAGGCTAAGGGTCACCCAGGGTCACCCAGCTGACTCATGGTCTCTTGTTTCTAGCCTGGGGCCTTAACCACTATACCAAATTGGAGGGAGGAGGATGAGAATGGAAATCAGAAAGTCCAGAGCACCAAAGAGTTTGACCTTTCGAGTCAAATGAGCTTAGGAATCATAGAGTCATAGATCTGGAGGGGACCTTGGAGGTCTTCTAGTCCAGTCCCTACCTAAGGCAGGGGTCCTTAGAACAATAGCACTTAGAGTTCACATTGCTTTATAGCCCTCTCTAAGCAGTTTACAGAGTCAGCGTACTGCCCTCCAACAATCTGGCTCCTCATTTTATCAACTTCAGAAGGATGGAAGCAGGGGTGGTATTCTACCGGTTTGGATCTGTTTGGGCGAACTGGTAGTTCTGGAGATCATTTGGTCCCACCCACCTGCCCCTGCCCTTTTCTTGTGTTTTATTTCCTTGTTTTTGAGCACATCTGATTTGCACAGCAGAGCAGTTTGCCACGTATCAGCTGTTTTACTCACTAGGGCTTCAGCAGAAGGTAAGTATTATAGCTAAAAATGGTCTTTTCTCAAAGCTGTGCACACGGGCAAAGCACACACTCATCGAACCAGTTGTTACACCGTTTCAATCACATGACTGGATGGAAGGCTGAGTCAACCTTGACCCCGTGAGACTCAAACTGCCAAACTGCTGGCAGTTGGCAGTCAGCAGAATTTGCCTACAATACTGCATTCTAACCACTGTGCCACCACAGCTCTTATATCCTCCTGGATGAATGACTGTCCAATCTTTTCTTGAAAACCTCCAGCTATGGAGTACCCCAGAACTTTGGAAGGTAAGCTGTTAACAAGCTTCCACCCAATGCTTCTTGTTCTGCCCTTAGGTACTTTAGAGAGTAAGTCAACTCCCTCTTTTCTGTAACAAGGTAGGAGATGACCCAGTTGAGACTGAAAGTGGGGTCAAATGCATTATCAGTTTGAAGTTGCTATGGCCCCAGAAGAGTTCTAAGTCCAGCCCCTCCTTGAAGTCCACTGACTCTTATTTGATGCCAATATGCCTTGACCATTAGTAGACCAGATTCTTGTGTATAAGTTGCATGGCATAAACTCATAGTGCCTTTGACTTCTATCCTGGCTTCTAATTTCCTGTGCCTGACAGACAATTCCTGGTAGTACTGGTAGATAATCAAGTCATATAATACTTGATACTCTTCATTAGGCTAGATACAACTAGTTCTCTCAAACATTCGTTACATGGTTTAGCCTCCAGACTTCTTATCATCTTCATTGCTCTTCTCTGCAGTATCTCAGCATCTATTTTGTATCATGGTGATCAGAACCTGATTCCAAGTGTGTCCTCACTAGTGTAGTGCAGAAGGATACTATCACCAGTGGTGGCTTAAGTCTCACTGGTGCCCTAAGCACTGACAAATCTTGATGCCTTCCTCCTTTGTAAATATTGTACATAAATGAAGCCAAGCAGGGTATATAAAAGTTTTGTGGTGCCACCTTTGGGCCTGGTACCCTAAGCACGTGCTTAGTCTGCTTAATGGTTAATACACCACTGACTATCACTTCTTGTGATCTTGATGCTATCCTTCAGTTGATGCAGCCTAGAATGGCATTGGCTTTTTGGCAGCTGTAGGACACTGTTGGCTCATACTTAAATGGTGGCCCGCTAGGAAACCTAAATCCCTCTCCCAGTTACTACTGTTGAACCAATACCACCTATTATAATCAATTAAATTTCCATGTAGCAGCTATGCCAATAGTGACCCTCAACCTCTTTTGTATGCGTATTGACATCCCATGCACTTAATAAAAGTTGTAGCTTCAATCATATGGAAGCAACTGCTATCTTCACTTTTTTTTTTTTTACTTACCCTATGGATGCCCGAGGAACAATGAAGCTTACAGCTTCATAAGAGAGTAGAAATGGACTTAGTCCCCCTACCTTAGCCATCATAAGATTCAGTAGAGTTTTGGGGAGGAGGGTGGAATAAAGAAGAACATGAAATTTTACAATTTTCAAACTAGATTCAGAATGTAATACAGATTTCAGATTTTGAAACTTACTCCTTAGCTATTTTAGACATATGATTCACTTTGATGAGATTGTTTAGGTCTTGGGATCTGTTAAGGCAAAATAAAAACAAAGGCAGTTTGCTGTTTATATGTTTTTGTGCATTTGATACCTGTGGAGAAGAGTTTTCATGCAGGATTGGTTACTTGCTTGCTCTGTTCTCTGTGCCCAAGCCTGCATCAGCATGGAATTCGGGGATAAAAGGAACACTGTGCTGGTGCCCAGAGATTATTATTGGGTATGTGACAAACTCTTTCGAAAAGCTGTTGAAGTCTCTTAAATGGAGCCAAGCGGCACCTCGTTTGTACTTTTCCATATTTATGTGAATACCAGAAGAAAAGATAAGCCATTGCATGGGAGGAAGGAAAACTGCTCTTTAGCTGTTGCTTAGTGTTAAGATATGTACTCAGAAAGGGGATGAAAAATTAAGGAATAGATTTAGGAATTGAGGTTGCAGCAAAAACTCATGGGCTGCATGGCAGGAGAGCTACATCAGGAGGGTGAAACTGGGCTTCTATATGGAAGGGAAGACAGGCTACAGCCTAACCAAAAAGTTCAAAAGATCCTCAGTGCCTAATCAGCTGCTAGTAAAATATCCACTTCCAATATCCACTGCTTTTCAAGATTAATTGTGCTGGTAAAATCACAACTTAATAATACAGGTAGTCCTTGACTGGTGACCGCAATAAAGCCCAAAATGTCCATTGCCAAGCAAGAAAAGTAAGGTACACGAGTTTTGCCCATTTTAGGACCTTTCTTGCCACCATTGTTAAGTGAATCACTGCGGCTGTTAAGTTAGTACCATGGTCGTTACTGGCTTCCCTACTTTTTCTTGTCAGAAAAAGGTCATCACGTGACCCAAGGATACTGCAAACCATCATAAATGCATGCCAGTTATCAAGTATTCAAATTTTGATCATGTGACCATGGGGATGTTGCAATGGTTTTAAGTGTGAAAAATAGTCATAAGCCACTTTTTTCCAGTGCTGTTATAAAACTGAAACTAAATGAATGATTGTAAGTCAAGGTCTACCTGTATTATAGACACTTGGCCATCAGTACCCTGGACAGTTCCCCTCTCCCAGTTTTGGCTAGTAGGCTACTCTGAACAATGAAGGTGGGTGGTGAGTCATCTCAACTCAACCTGAATAACGCTTCCACCTGCTAATTCTGAATGCATGCCGTCTTTGGATAGCCAACTCAGCCCTGGGAAATTATTGTATGCTGCCCATACTGATCCTTAACAGTCTTCCTAGGATAACTTGGGTAAATTTGTATATGGTGTTATAATCTGAATCTGAACTGCTTGTCCTGGAAGATTTTGGTGTGTTCAATCATGATTTCATGACTAAGGACCAGTCCCAAATAACAGTTAGTCCTACACACAAAGCAGAGAAGATGCTAAATTTAGGTTTCTTTTCAAGTACAGCTATATATCTGCAGGAGATCCATGTGGCTGTTTTCAAATCATTCCCTGATCATATACCACTTTTTCAGACTTACAACCTTTGCCCCATCCCTATGGTCACATGATTTACGTTCCAGATGCCTGACAACTGATTCACACTTCTAACAGGTTGCAGTGTTCCTGGCTCATGGGATCTGCTTTTGCGACTTTCTGACAAGCAAAGTCAATGGGGAAACCAGGTTCACTTAACAGCTGGGTTGCTAATTTAACAACTGCAGTGATTCACTTAACAAAAGTGGCAAGAAAAGTCATAAAATGGGGCAAAACTCACTTTACAAATTTCTCAGCTACCAACATAAACTTTGGGCTCAATTGTGGTCGTAAGTCAACTGTACTACCTGTACAGTTTTGATGGCTTGACTGATCTGTAGAATAGGGATCACAGATCATACAAAATGCAGGTCAGCCTTGGAAATTCAAATTAGTGCTTGTTTGTTGTTAAAACAAAATTAGTACTGTGAATTTAATTTAAATTGTTCCTGAGTACCTCCTTCCTTCTTGTGGCACCAAGTCCTTTATTTATGAGTAAGCTCTGAATAATGAAGCAGAAGCTATCCCAATTGGAATATAAAAAGAAGAACACTCAGCTTATTTGAGAGTTAATACAGAACCAGGGACACTTTCTTTAAAGTACCCATGCGAGAATTAATTCTCATCCCTTATGACAGCTGATTAATTACAAACCAGCCTGTAATTCTGTTTCTAGAAAGGTAATCGGAAAGACTGGCTTTATATCTTCAGATGCATATGAATGTTAGTGATCTTTTAAAACCATCTTAAATAGGATTTCAATTATGGCATGGTACTGAAACTGCACTGCTCACCCAAATGGATAACCTACCCCCAAAAAAATTCTGGTTGATTTTAGATGTCATCAACTATTTTGTTATCACCCACCCCTTGGCTGCAGTTTTACAGTGGTTCCACTCAGTGATGGGATTCAAATTTTTTTACTACCAGTTCTGTGGGCGTGGCGTGGCTTGGTGGATGTGGTTTGGTTTGGTGGGCGTGGCTTGGTGGGCATGGCAGGGGAAGGATACTGTAGAATCTCCATTCCCACCCCACTCCAGGGGGAAGGTTACTGCAAAGTCCCCATTCCCTCCTTACCCCACTAACCTGCTTTCCAGCTCCGTTCTCCTGTGCAGGGCAACAAAAGAAGACCCAGTTGATCAGCTGGGACTTGGGAGGCAAAGAATAGATGGGGGCGGGGCCAGTCAGAGGTGGTATTTGCCGGTTCTCTGAACTACTCAAAATTTCCACTACTGGTTCTCCAGAACTCCAGAACCTGCTAAATACCACCTCTGGTTCCACTTCCTATCAGGATGGGAATTTGTCATTCAACACTTTATCTATAGTGTCCTTTTAGGGTTATAGCCTGCATCCCCGGGGAAAAGTCATCTGCGGTTTTAAAGCAGACACCCAGCTGATCCTTGCCATCCAGTTCCAAAAAAGCACTTAAGGGTGCTCTTTAATGGAGGGGTTGGGTTGTGCCTTTGAGTCAGTGTTGACACCTGGCAATTGCCTGGACTAGTCCCAGCGGCTTTCTGGGTAGGATTTCCGGGCGTGGCTTGCCACTGTCTCCTTCCGAAGGATGAAGTAGGGTGATTCATCCAAAGTCATCCAGCTGACTTCAAGCTTGAGGTGGGAAGCAGAACTCATGGTCTCCCAGTCTCTAACCTGGTACCTTAACCACTACACCTGTTTCTCCTTAAATGTTAACTAAATTCAAAAATGGGCTGGATGAGAGAGGATCAGCAAAGAAATGTGTTATTGGGAGCTAGCATCAGAGTTTAAACTGGAGGTGCCCTTTCTCTGAAAGAGCACAGTTGCAGTACCTGAGTGCTTGTGGGTCCTCAGCTAACACTAGATTTACAAGTGACATTTGTGAAGAGGGATATAGGGGTGGTGCGGTGGTCTGTAGGTGGACCTCTCACCTCACAATCAGGAGGCTATGAGTTTGATCCCAGAGAATAGATAGGGGGGGGGCAGTCAGAGGTGGGATTTGCCAGTTCTCTGAACTCCTCAAAATTTCCACTACCGGTTCTCCAGAACTGGTCAGAACCTGCTGAATACCACCTCTGATATATATGACTTGACACAGACAGAGACAATTCAGCATACGCCCTTAACTAGATTATTCCAGGGACTTTTGCAAATGCCTTCTAGCATCCAACAAATGCCACATGTATAATTTTGTCATTAATTTTAAAATACGTATTTTAAATGAAGTTAACGCACTGAAATA